TGTGTGGAAACATGTAAGACTGCTTGGGGCAGTGAAATGGCAGGTGATCTGGTGACTTCATCGTGGACAAGACTTCCCTTGGCAGGATGCTGGCTCTTGCGAGGGATAGGGCAGGGAGTGCAGGATAACGTGACCCTGTGGCAGAGCTCGTGCGGGGATCAAGGATTTCCATGCAAATGGCAGCTTGGAACCTCCTAGCAATGGGCAGAATGTAACCTTCGGCAGGCAGAACCTTTCCAAAGCCATCCGCGCTCGCAACATGAGTAAATAACATATGGCGCTTTTAACATGTTTGCATCGCAGAAAAGATTCATTGGCAGAGCGCTGCTGTGTTGGCAGGCATCTAGTTTGCATCGCAGAAAAGGTCCATTGGCAGAGCGCAGCTGTGTTGGCAGGCATCTATACCAGCAGCAAGGAGGCGGAGACTGCAGCTGATCTTTTTCTCAGTGGAGAAGTGTCAGCAAGGAGGGCAAGGCGGTGGGAGGATGCTTTGCACTCAGATGCCTCATGAAGGCGGTGGATGGAGCGGCCATCACATCTGATAAACGAGAATCCTTGGAGGTGTTCTCTTTCAATTTGCCTAACTTGGCACAAGACCAGCGAAGTCTCAGAATTCCAATAACTGCTTTGCACAAAAAACATTTCCTTGCAGGAACAGCAGGCGCCGGGGACGCCGTCCTTGCAGTGATTAGCTGGTCAATGAGGTGCCTGGCAGAGGGCAAGTTTCCGGGTCTTTACGGGGAGAGCCTTAGGTGGAGGCAGCAAAAGCAGGGAGCTCTTTGACCTGTGGAATTCGTGCTGACTAGGCTTGCTACAAAAGCACATCTCGTTTCCTGGGTGCACAGATGCAGGATGGAGATGTTACACATGCAAAGCAGGCATGGTTAACTTCAGCGCCACTGATGGCAATGCTACGTGGAGAGGCGCAGAGTTTTCCAATTTTGAACTGGACACCCAACTTGTGCAGCACACAAAATCAACAAGCGCTTTTTTTCAGAGCCCTGGCTGCAGCCACCTGGTTATCGAAATAGATGTGTTGGTCGTTTTGCAATTGTCTTTCTGCTTTGCCCCTATATAGAACATAGCGCCTGCGCGCTGAGGACTATCTTGTCGACTGCATGCGCCTCATCCTGTGACAACTGGGTGGCAACGATCATCAAAAGCTAGGGAAGTTTGAAAAGGCCAATGACACCCCTTCCAAGTTGAGTTGCCTGACCATGACCATGATCAGGAAAAACGCAGCTGCCAGCCCAAAGCCAAAGGCAAAGGCTGGGGGAAGTTAGTACCTAGCTCCTTGGTGCCACCAGGCCTGTTGTTTGAACCAAGCGGGCATGGAGCAAAGCACATGCACGGCCGCTGCGTTGTATTTGCATTAAATTTACTTACACCTGCCTACAGAATCATTTGATGGCCAAACGCTTCATGCCAGTGGAATGCATCTGGCCCTTGAAGACATGGTAGGGGTGCATGCTTGCACTTGGAACTGGAAATCCAAACATCATTTGTTTGTCCGCTTTCTGGACAGCTCTTTGGCCAGTCCTTCAACGTACTGGACTTATAGGGATGAATCTGTTGGAGGCACAATGGGCCACACAGCTTCTCACAAAGGTGGAAGCAGTTGGCCGAGTGCTATAACTGCCAAGTCTTCGAACAAGTTTGCTGCTCAAAATCAGCCCCCAGTTCTTTGAGAAAGAGAAAGCATGTGCCACTTCAATGCTGCGTGGGATCATGCTTGGCATCGGACGGCCTTAACTAAGAAATAAATTACGTAGTAACTCGCTGTTAAACTAATTAAGCACTATTGGGCTCACTGGGCAACCAACCAACCAACCAACCAACCAACCAACCAACCAAGCAACCAACCAACCAACCAACCAAGCAGGCAAGCAGGCAAGCAGGCAAGCAGGCAAGCAGGCAAGCAGGCAAGCAGGCAAGCAGGCAAGCAGGCAAGCAGGCAAGCAGGCAAGCAGGCAAGCAGGCAAGCAAGCAAGCAAGCAAGCAAGCAAGCAATCAAGCAAGCAAGCAAGCAAGCAAGCAAGCAAGCAAGCAAGCAAGCAAGCAAGCAAGCAAGCAAGCAAGCAAGCAAGCAAGCAAGCAAGCAAGCAAGCAAGCAAGCAAGCAATAAGCAAGAAAATACATTTTTGACACAAACGAAAAGGAAGGTTTTAGGAGACACTTGGGAAAGGAAGAGCACTTCCGGGAACCGGAAAGTGATGCTCGGAAGGGATCTTCCCAAACTCCAGCAAGGATCCGAAGGCCTTCCAATGATACTGATATCTCAGCTGTTCAATCCAGTTCAATCTAATCTCTAAAGGGAACAAAAAGGGACACCCGCTAAAGGCAACCCCCAATTTGGACAAACCGTAGCGAATCGCGACGCAATCAAACGATGTCCACGCATGACTCTCCAAGGCGCCCCATTTTCTCCCGAAGGCACGACGCTTTCGGGGCTTCTCGCCGGGGGCCTCGGCGAGTCAACAGAAACGAAGCGGCTTCCTGAACCTCAGAACCTGAGAACTTGTTCCCAAGTCTGACATATTGCAGGTGTTCAGTCCGGAACATAGGTGTCCTTTTAGGGCAAATAGATGGCCCTGGTAGTTGATTAAACCACCAGGTAAACCAGGAATCGCCCTCTAGTTTTCAACCAAAACAACCAAAAAGGACAGGTGTTCAGTCCGGGACTTGTCCATGCGTCTCAAGGCTCTGGGGGCAAGCAACATCTCCACGTAGCCCCAAAGAGAATGCCAAACAACGAGTCCGCTTCACTCCAAAGCTACCCAACCGAGTCATGCGTGGGCGAAGGATCCATTGAAGTCAGGGCTGATGGCACAGGTGCGTTTGAGAACTCGAAATAACAAGCAGATCATCAGCTGGCTGGCTCCCCAAGTCTCATTTTGACACTGACATGATGCTCCCACCTTAGTGGATGCCATGCGCAAGACCGCGCCCTGTGGAGCACCGTGCACGTTGCATCTCTCCCAGGGGATCCCACGGGTTTGTTGAGCCTTGCCTTAGGCAAGGCGTTCAACAAAAATCAACACCGGCCTCAAATCAAATTGTGCAGCATGCACCGGGGTGGGACAAGCCGTTGGTTCAACAAGTTGAAACAGTCCTCCTTTGGGTTCCCCGAAGGCCCAAGCACCCTGTCAGCTGGTCCCGGCCGGAGATTTCAAGCTCGGTCCAAACCACACCTCTAGGTGAACACTAGGTGAACAGTCTTCTTCGGATGCAAACCGAATAGCGCTATGGCAGCAAAGACACCCGGACTCTCCAACCAGGGAGCCACAACACAGGCGATTTCCCTTTGGTCTCCCTTCGGTTTCCATTTAAATACCAACCAAAAGGGGCGCTTCCTCTGGTTTGAGAAATCTCGGGTGTCAGAACCTTTGTACCAAACTCCGCTTGGGTCAACTGGCCTTGCCTGCAAAGCGCCAGATGGCTCCTGTCTAGTAGAACGCACGTATGCAAAGCTCTCCCGCCCAATGGAGATGCACGGACGCATCGACATAGCAGCACCTGCATGCTCAACTGCGCTGATTTGCGGGCTTTGGGCTTGTAGGGCAGTTCCTTCCTCATTCCCCTGGGAGAAAGCAAGACAGGAAAACGTAGCAAGTCCAGAAGCCCGTCTCTGTCCACAGCCTTTGTCACTTCCAACACCGACCACAACCAATCGTGTAAAAGAAAAAAAACCGAGATTCTCAGTAGTCAGAACTCAACCGCGACAGTTTGGTACTGCCTTTGCATGCTACTCTTCAATGCAAACGCTCAGACTCGAAGCCCAAGCCTTTCTCCGGGGTTGTTTCAAGTCAAGTGGTAACCCCGAAGCTTGGCTGGCCCCTTCAGGCAACAGATACCCCATGCCTGTTTCTATTCAGGTGTTCCGCAAAAAAAACGCCGGCGTTTATGCTAGCTGCAAACATGCAACCAGCGACACCACGAATGCTTGCTGCTATTTCTGGTGTGCCGGCGTGCTGCACAAAACGATCACACTTCTCCGAGATGGATTGGGTCGAAACTGAGCTCGTGATCTGTGCAAACGGACTGCCAATGCCGCGGTTCCGGAGGCATGCCAGCGGCGGCTCTTAAAGAGGCGAGGGATTTGGACAAGCGATTTGTGAATGACCCTTTCTGCGAAAGGGACTCACGGGCTCGGCTTCACAAGCTAACTCGATGTATTTGACAAATCGGAACTAATGTCGTTGGCTGTTTAGGCTGTTCATTGAAAGAACACATGGTTGCAACATGTTGACAAATATAGTTGGGTGCCGACCAGTACCTCTTACTTGTTGCCGCATCCTTCCTGTTGCAAGTGAAGCCAGGGGCAAAAAAGGCGCGCCGGAGTCCAGGATGGAGAAATCGCAGCCCTGGGAAAGAAGGGACCATGTTGAGACTGTCCTCAGCCAAAAAGAATGGTGGAAAGCTCGCAGCGAAAAGGTTCAACGGTACTCAAGACTCCACCCACAGGAGCCCAAGTGCCACACCGAAATCAGCGACTAAGGGTGGCGGTGCATGCACTACTGAATCCCAACCAAAAGCAGCAATCTCTGAGAACATACCTACTTAGGATTGGTTTAGCATTGGCTATTCTAAAAGTAGTATTCCCGGATTTGGGACTTCGGAAACAATTATTGCTTGTTAGGGAGACCTTATTCTTTAAAAGAAAACAAATTATAGGATTGTCTCTAAATGGGAAGCCCCAAAATGCATGGTTTCCTTTGGCGTCCCTTGAAACTTAGAACTGAAAGGGTACCCTCACACAAACACACACCCACATACAATTTACTAGTCAGATCTCTCCGCTTTCCCATCCTCCGAGGCCCATAGAATTTAAAATTTGGAATCCGGCGGATATGCCTGTTCCCACCTCGGGCCACTCAGCCGCTCGCTCAGCTACTCTTAGGCCCTTTGGGCAATCTTTCACCATGCCTTTTCTTCAGGAGTAACATCCTTTTCGAGACTCGCTTTGATATCGCAACTCACTTCAAACGAGTCATGTTAGACCCTCTTTAAGGGGATCGCCCCCCTGAACACTGGGAACAGAGCTTCCTCCGCGCGGCACGAGCGAATCGCTGCCGGCGCCGCCGCCTTGGCGCGACGCCTCACAACCTACTGCGTGTGGCACCTCGAAGCGAGAGGTGGCGACTTGAGAGCTGGTTCCATCTGTCCCTTTCTTTGCTGGCACGGATGAACCAGCCTTTCATAGCTTGACACCAAGCTCCATATCAGATTGCTGGTCTCCGGTCTCTTGTGTTTGGCGGGGAGACAAAACATGGAACTCGGCATAGGACTGGGTCCTCCATGTTGGAAACCTTGTGACAGCGCTAACTTCCTACCCTACTCAGCTAGTCTCCTCTACGTGGGTCAACTGGTCTCTAATGGCTCTGTTTTGGGACCTCAATCAGGAAGCCGCACGGACCAGCGCAGGAAACCATTACAGCATATTGCCCTCCCTCCCAACATGGCACTTGACCTCGGGGTCCCTTCAAGAGGAAGTTGATCTTCGAGGTACCTGCCAGGTGCCTTCTGTTAGTAAAAAGAAGGGTAGACAAATTTCCCTACCCCAGGTCCTCCAGTAGAGAGGTTAGAATAAGGCTACCTGTTTTTTCTGTAGTCTATTTTAGTAGGGGGTTCCCCCTCCCCCAAAAAAGAAACGGCAAAAGGGCACTACTGGAAAACCTCATCGGCGCTTGTCCTGTGTCTTTCTTAGCCAAGGGCGCGGTTCGCCAAGGTCTCCATCACCCTGCGAGCCGGACTGCCTCCCAGATTCCTCCTCTCCCGGCGCTTCTTGCTCGACTCCTGGCATCCAGAGTTGGATGGGGGTCCTTGAACATTCACTTGCTGCGATAAACAGGGAATGACAAATTGTTTTTTTCTTCATTTTTTTTTCTGGTTTGAGATTCCAAACTGGAAGCAAACCAGTTGGATGGTTGATAGGGGTCATTCCAATTCTCCTTCCCTTCTCAGCACCGGCAAGTTGATCAGCTGTTTCCACAGGTTTCTGCCGGATCCTTGAAGGAAGCCGGTGAAATATCTGGCACTCGAATTCCCGAACCGAAAACAAGGGATCCCCAAATAAGGAAGCCACCCTTTAAAAACGAAATGGTGGGGGTTACCAACAGTACAGTTCATGAACAAAAATCCACTTCGAACCAGTTGGGATGGATACATGAAACTGGCAACCACCTACTGGTGCTGGAATTTGTCCATCTACACGGTGGGCTCCCTGGAATTGCAAGTCAGGAACTCGCAAACATCAAATATAAAACCAGATTACGCGAAATAGCGAAAGGACCCTGTTTTGGATGGTCCGCTGGTTGTATAAGGTCTCCAATTTTGAGAAACACCCATTTGGCCATGCATGGACTAAAATGGGTGGTGAATTCACCGAAAACCCCCAAAATGCCAAAATGGGTTCTAAAATGGGTGGCGAATGCACCGAACCCCCCCCCCCCCCCAAAATGGGATCCCAAAACGGTTTTGACCACCACAGCCATTTGGCTGTGGCTCAAAACTAAACAGGGGGGGTTACGCAGGTTTTGGTCCATGTTTCCACAGAACCAGGGTTCCATGTTGGAATTCCGGTTTTAGGCATCGGCATATTCGATGCATGCGACGTGCGACCTCCGATCCCTTTCTCCTGGCTGCTCTCACTGCGCTGGCTGCTCCGAGGGCTCCAGGTAGGGCCTCGTGGCGCCAAAAAAACGAGCCCTTGGAGATCAGAAATACATATCGTGCCCAGTGAACGGGACCCAATCCAACCACTAGAATAGGTTCTAAAATGGTTGGTGAATTCACCTACCCCAAAATGGGATCCCATTGGTTTTGACCCACAGCCACATGGCTGTGGTGGTCAAAAATAGGGTAACCCCAACATGGCTTGCCCTGGTAAATGGAAAGGACTAAAACCTGCGGTCCGATTCCTGGTGGATTCATTTTGACCAATCCCACATGATGCATCTGTCTCACCCGAAAAATGGTCTGAAGCCTCTCTTGGTTTTTGTTTGGAAGCTAAAGGGTACCAACTCCTGAGAAAGACCGCCCATGTACTCAAACAAGACAGCCCAAGGGGGATTTGAGATCGATCCAAGTTGAGTTCAAAGCATTGGGCTTCTCACTTCCTAAGCTTCTCTCTTAGTGGAGTGGCCCAAAAAGTCCAAACTTTGTGTTTTCCACCAAACTGATCCAACCCCAAGTGACTCACGTCCATTCACTCGAAAGAAGTGAGGCATTGCCGAGGGGCTCATGGGACCCAGCGTTGACCCGGATGCAGGTGTGGAGTTGAAGGCCATCAGCACCTCTGAACAGCGAGTTCACAAAGGAATTCTCTAAATGGCAAATGTGATGCTCACTATGACCAACACTATATAGGTCCTCCAGTAGAGAGGTTAGAATAAGGGTACCCTTTCCTACTGTAGTAGACCAACAAATGAGATTCTCCGGTGAATTCATGGTGATCAAATTCACAATGACCAACATTTTGGTCTAATTCTCATGGTGATAAGTTACTGGGACATGTGATTGTCACTACCAACATCTACTCCTTTCAGAGCGCGGTCGTGTTGAGCTTCCAGGACTGTTGGGCTTCCAGGACCCGCAGCATAATTTTCGGCGGTGAACATCTGTTGCGTGTGAGCAGCTCTCCGCGGACCTACGGAAAGCGGTGCTCTTGTCCTCGGGCAGGCGGAAAGTGGTGCTAAGCGGCGAAGCGGCTAAGCGGACGCGCGTGAGCGGGCGTAATGCTGAACCGGCAGGCGTAAATGCAGTGCTGCGCGCCTCATTTTGGGGGGAAACGCTTATTTGGCAAGCGCGTGTGCGGTGCTGCGCGGGCGCGCTTCGCGAGCGTGCTTGCTCATCATTTGGCAGGCGTGCGCGCAGTGCTGAGAAGGTACATGTGAATGGCTGTGCATAGCCCCCCAGGAAAGAAGCAAGCGTTGTGTCTCAGTGGGGCTGAACGATGCTAAACGTAATCATTTTGGCCCTAACCCCCCCCCCCCGCCACCCCAAGACCGGAATCGCGTTTGGTGCCGCAGGTCCTCAATAAGACGACCACCATTTCGAGACCCTTTCCAACATGGAACCAAAAGCAGTGGGTTTCCATGAACATAATGGACACCTAGTCACTTAAACAGTTAAGCTAAGTATGGCCATGCAATGAAGACAAATGACAGTTTGATCGCTTGAATGTTTTGGGCAGGTCGGCTTCATGCAAGCGTCCAACGCCACCTCGGCATCTGTGCGTTCCGCTTGACAAACTATGGAACGAGTCCGAACAATTTGGAGATGTTTCCGTGGACCAACATGGAATTCAGCATCGTGTGAAGAGTTCTGACAGAACCCCAACATGAGCGTGTCTAAATGAAGTTGTTTGCCTTTTGCTTTTTCCGACAAGAATCAATCTCCTGTCTTTTCCAAAGCCTTCTCCCTTTGTTTGCTCTTTCTGAGCCTGACAAAAAGCCATGAAAAACCATTCATTTTCCAGCCAGCGATGGGTTGCTCTTCCCCCGCAGAATCGATCACCTTCTGCGGGTTTCGCGGATTCGTGCCCTTTGTTTTTCCAAAGGTCTAAGTTTTTGCCATGGCGTTCACAAAAAAAGAAGGCAGCCATGGAATATGGGTGTGTCTTGAGGGTTCCCCCCAAAATGGCGGTTTTCCTTTAGGATGTTCTAGGGGTTTACCCCCAAAATGGTGGTTCTCCGATGGTTTTCCCCGAAAATGGTGGTTTACATCCACAAACAACAGCGGTTCTGTCTCAGGTTCTCATTTTTTTATCCGAAGCGCATGGATCTGCCCTTCCTTTGTCTGCATCAGCTGCATGCTGCCGGAGATGGTCCCGGACAGAATTCGCCAGTGCACTGGCAGGTCTTCCTAAGACCAACGCAACGCTTCAGTCCAACGACTTGGGAATCTTGAGGAAGAATGAATGACCCACGCAAACGTTTCAGTCCAAGTTGGGGGATATTGGGCACAAAAATCATTCTACTCATTTTCAACCACAAAAATCATTCTACTCATTCTCAACCACAAAAACATTCTACTCATTCTCAACCAGAATAATGTGAACAAAGGTCAACACAAAGCACCGCGGCGATCGGACTTTGGGTTCTGCCGCACGGATCTCTTCGGAGCCTATTTGAAACGGTGGGTTTTCATGTTCCAGTGGAGCCTCGTGGGATCCTCGATGGGAACTACATAGCATAGCCTTATGGAGCATACTCGCGACCTAGAAACTATATTTGGGAATGATCTACTTGCTTGTTCTGAGCAGACCCCTAATTGAAGCGAAAACAGAAGGCGACCAGCAAAATAGAATCAACTACAGTGATCTGACAAACTCATGCCTAAGCCATGCCTGTCACACGCGCCATTGGAAACGCGACTTTGAAACTGAAAAGTCATTCCGAAATCATGTGCTGAAAGGATTTCGTTTTCAAGTGGCAGCAACAACCGCATGGAATGCAGCACATGCAGCAAGCTTCGGAACTGACACAATCATGGAAAGCCCTAATATCAGGTTGACGTGCCTCACTACGGGAACTCACCAATTACTGCCCATTGTGGTAAAACAACTTTTGTCAAACCCTATACCAGAGCGGCGTCAACCAATTTTGATTGCGAACCTCTCCAACTTACCTTCGACCATGCAGATTCCAGCTTCTAGTCAAATGGGCCCTTCCATTGCCAAACTTCCTTACTCGATCGGCCCAACAAAACACTTCGTGGCTATGGGAAAGATCGGAGCATCTTTTCTTTCTTCCTAGTTGATTTTAAAGGAACACCCTCAAAAAAGGGGAGCAAGGACATGACTGGATGCCTAGGCATAGGAAGCGTCTCAGAGAAATTTCAGCACTGCCTTTTCACACCCTGGGACCCGCCTCCCGAACGTGATCTACGCGCCCAAATGCGCCCAGAATTTAGGAAACCTGCCAGCAACAACTCATGAACATGTTGGGGGCCGGTTTCCCAAAGCCACATATCTGAGGAAGCGGGGATGCGCAAAAAGAGGTCTTCTTGTTTGTCCCGAGAATTGCGATCGCTTGATTTTCCCTTTAGCATCACTCGGCTTCCCTCAAAAAACAAAACAGGGCTAGCACAAGCGCTGCAGCTAGAGCTGAGTCACGGGGAAAAGGCCGGCTGGGGGGAGGGAACGCACTTGCCGGCGATCGATGCCAGCAGCACCACAGCCCCATTGGACACAGGCAGCTAGCCCGCGACACCAACACCCCCGGCTTGTTTAAAAAAAAGGGCAGGCGGGGCAAAACCCAAATGCAAGACTATGTTGCGTGGCACCCACTCAACCTGACACTGTGACGCTTATGTCTCGATCATGTGAAACAAAGTGGAACAGACATGGCCAAAGAAATGCCAGGCCAAACGCCTCGCGCACAAATCACAACCTAGCTCTATGAAACCATAGAGCGCTGTTGATTCCTTCAATTGAAACCTTGCCCTTCGGCAGTGCGTTTGTAGACCGGCAATTCCTCAGTACAAGTAAGTATGCCTTAGCAGCTCCGGCTTCAAACTCCCAGCCTTGTGGCGTTTGGCAGTTCCAGTCTCAAAACCCCAACTATTAGTATCAGCGTAGCGCACAAAGTACACTTTGGAAAATCCTGCTCAGCAACTTTGTTGTACCACTTTGGGCAGGTCTAGCCTTGAAGTTCGCAACAGTACAATTACAAGTGTAGTACGTGAAGTAGACGTTTGCAGCTCCAGTTCGAGATTCGCAACTTTTCAGTACGTCTAATATACGAGGTACGCTGTGGCAGCTCCAGCTCGAAATGTGCCCTGTTGCAGTACAAGTGATAGCGCACTCGAAGTGTCTGTCATCCAATCATGCCACCACATGAAGGTTATTTTCTGAGTGGCAAACCTTGGTTTGGAGCCTCAGGACGCTGTCCCTTCAAACAATAAGTCTTTTGTACAACGTCTCTTCGACGGGATACGTTTGGCTTAGCCATCCAAAGGTCCGGGCCCAACACAAATTTCACCGCTCAAGGCTCGAAAGCGTAGGATTTGGCCGACATGGGCTCATGGTTCTCGACAAGCCTCAGACACGGCTCAGACTAGGGTTGGTTTGGGGTTCGTTCAGCCCACAGAAAGCCACGAAAAAATAAAAAACAATGAAGGCCAAAACAAAAGCCATGGTGATATTCACAAAGAAGCAGGTTAACACCCTTCTTGAATATTGGCACTCCACGCCATGCACTTCGTTTCTTTCTGAACTTCCGCGAAGCCATGGCGCTCAACTTGGTGCAACATGGCGCTTCAGGTGGCTTCTGCTAGTGGAAAGAGTAGCCAAGGTATGGATCCACCTGATGGGTTTGTTTGCCAAACAGCAACAAGAAGCAACATCACCCCAGCCACCAGAAACGAACCCGGAAGGGTCCTATCTGCAAATGGTTTAAACACATAACCACCGAGGAGGAATAGACACACCCAACCCAGCAATCCGGATAAAAATCACGTGCGAGCAAAGGGGTGCACTTATGCTCTGAGCGACCCGAAATGGCTTTGACAGGGTCCCCCATATTTTGCCTGGAACATCACCCAACTCATCATAGGGCACACTGTTTGATGGTGGATTATGCGCCTTCCGTGTGCCAAAGAAACAAGGCGGCGTCATCCTGCGGCTCGAGAAGCGTGCGCCCCTCGTCGCATAGCCGGCGCAAGAGCAGGATGATGTGATGCGGGAAAAGGTCGCTCAGGGGGGAGCCCGAGAGCCTGTTCCTGAAGCAACTCAGCTTCGACTTTGGGAGAAGCCGTGTGGTGTCCTCAGTGGTTCGTTGACTGCTAAAGTAGCCAATTGAAGTACATGAATACACCTTCGTTGGTTGCACGCTGGTTCACAATTTTCTTTAGCCCGTGTGCTTTCCTTGTCTTTTCGAAGCTATCCCAAAATGTGCCCAAGTAGGTCTCCCATGCAAGTCTTGTTTCATTCGTTACCTGCCGACAACATTTCACGTTGACGTGACATGGTTCCCGATTCGAGTTGGAAAGGACCCATGAATGGCCCATGGGTCCCTCGCCGCAAACATGAAATCCTCGAAGAACAAGACACCTCCTCCCTGACATTCAAAACCCCTTTTAAACAAAGGGGCTTCTGTTAACCCCCTTTCTTTCTACCGTCGAGGCAGGGAGGGGGACTTTTAGGGTCACCCAGGTTGGCACCAATAAATGGACGCATCAATCGGGAATTAGCTCAAATTATGTTTTTTTACACTCAGCAAGCCAACCGCATTCAGCCTGCAATTGCAACCTGTTCCCCATTAATTGAACCTAGGTGTTTTTTTATTGATATTTAGCTTGGTGGATAATAGCCTGCGAAGCTATCAACTGCTACCAGCACAAAAGCACCAGCGACGCGGTGCAATCAACAACCTACAAAGGAGGCTGAGTTTGCGAGTTTGAAGAATAAACTTTATACGGCGAGTCGGATGAGCATGTTTGTAGACACCTTGTGTGCACCCAACCCATGACGAATCAACAAATATATCTGGCAACACTGCGAGCGCGTTTCAAAAAATAACGGTGTGGCAATGGAACGAAGTGGCGTTGTGTCCAGGACATTGCATCTTCATCCAAAAAGCAATGAGTCATTCTTGGGTTTTCCCCTGCAAGGCACTGTTGACTACCAAGATCTCAATTCAGATTCAGTAAGATGCACTGCTGCAAATAATAGGTGAGCTCAGTCAAAACACTTGAGACAAGCTCGAGCTGGTGAAAAACACATCATGGAAAAACTGCAAGGGGCATATATTAGAGGTTCTTGAACAGCAAGACAAAGGATTCTATGGCATGTACCTTTTGGGCAGACGAGCCACTGAGGGCAGACGGGTTGACTCACGAGCTCAGGTTTCACGGAAGAAAACATCGGTTTTGGGGTGTGCGTGGTTCACGCAAAACAAAGGGGGTTCACGCAGAATAAAGGGGGTTCACGCTGAGTTCACGGTAGTTTCACGGTAGTTTCACGGTACCATATTCCTGGAGCACTGCATGCCGATTGCGCGCGGCAAATACGACTTATTCCCCGGTCGTGTAGCGACACACTCATCACGCACAGCTTCTTATGCAATGCAGAGCTGCAAGCTGGCTGGGCACACGTTCACGCATGGCATAGCGCTCGAGTACGCGGCTCATATGATCATGTTCATAAAGAATAGGCAAATGCAAATTCACGCGCGGGCGGGCAGCCCAGCCAATTTTGTTAAGGGTCACCCAGCACGCGCACGCACACAAGGCCTTCTGATGCCTTCCGGCTACATGGGGCATGAAAAGCAATCAGGAGCTCAATAGGTCCAATTATCATGAATTACACGCACGGTCAACGCAGCTAGTAAGCACGGTCAGCAATCTAATCATCGCAGCGATCGGAGCGAAATGGCATGTGAGCACCAGGCCGCGCTCCCGGCGAAGGAAACGCTTTAGCTCAGAAAGTCCAGCGTGCCTCCAGCCATGGGGCCCCTACGACACCCATATAGAAAACCACGAAGTGTACAAACGTTACATCCTGTAGTTTTTTTTAAGCTGGCACGAGTCATCCCACCGGGCCTGAGAAGCAGGCAATGTCAATCATATATACAAATTCTAAACATCATGATTATGTCACGCTGGGATGCTTGGCCCCCAGCAAATTCACGAGAAAAAACCGACTCCATCATTCAACTTCACAACGATCAGTGTTTTATCTAATGTGTTAGTCCAAAGGGCCATGTCCATATGGCTATGTTGCCTAAACCAGGCTTTACAACAAGCCCCTATACAAACAAAGGTCGAGCAAAGCAAAACAAAGGTCGAGTCCTAACCCCCTTTGTTTTAAAGGGGGCTGAACCCCAGGGTCCTTATATGGCTATGTTGCCTAAACCAGGCTTTACAAGCCCCTGTACAAACAAAGGTCGAGCAAAGCAAAACAAAGGTCGAGTCCTAACCCCCTTTGTTTTAAAGGGGGCTGAACCCCAGGGTCCTACCAGGTCACTTTGTCGTTTGTCCCGACCTGGGAACCGCTTCTTCTTGCAAACGACTCCGCTGACTCAGGACAAGGAGATATGCAGAGTCGAAGTTGCACTTCTCAAGGTTTTGGAGAAAACATCAGTTTGTATGTAGGGGAGCTCAAGAGCAGCCAGTTGGGCCTGAACTCAACGGGAGATAGCCAAGCTCTGGTTTACACATGTTTGAAAGACTCGTGTTTCAACCTCGAATTTGGGGTGGTTCAACCAAGTTTGTCCAACCCCTCTGTGTCGCAATGAAACTTGATACTTAAAAAAAGGGTCTGTTTGAATTTGTAAAGAGAGAAACGGGGGCATATCCGAACCTATTCATTCTTGGGAGTGTACCCTCACCTTCATCGAACCGGCTTCCGCAGGTTTCTCAAAGTCGGAGTCCCCCTAAAATGTGTGTTTTCTTCTTGTGCCTTTCATTACGAGCTACAAGGCTTGGTTGCTGTTGACCACACCGCAAAAAAAATACCATTTTGTGGATCCAATGGAAAATCCACTCCTCCCAAAAAAACTTCAGGTCGAAAACTCCCACCAAACTCCCCGAACAATTGCAGCTGTTTCCTGTGCCGCTAAGAGTCAGCGGCGCCGATGCAGAATTCACCTGCATGGTCTCCAAATCGCAGTCCAGGAACATCCTGCGAATCGGAACAAACACAAAACGCGGGGAAAAGCAGGAGTTGTTTGTCATCAGCGCTTGAAAATGAGTCCTCCACCCAACTATGCAATGAACAAGGGATGGGTATTTGTTCGTCACATTTGTTTGAATCACTGAGTTTCAATGAAAGGATACTGTGCATGACAATCACCCATGGAATTCTGGTTTGGAATGTCTCTTGGCCTTCAGGTTTGGCTCATTAGGCAACATTGGCAAGTGGTAGGCTATGAGAACGAAGCCCAGAACTTGTGAATGTGACTGCCCACAAAAGGAAAAAGCAACATCAGACGAGGGGGACTGATGCTGAACGACACAAACCTGTGATGCCATCCACAGCGGTGCTAGAGTTTACTTCTTGTCCCTGAGAAGAATCGAAGGTGCTCCCCGCCTTCAATTCAATGGGCTACCTTTATGACGAGAACCTGCAACCATTGGTAGAGAAAAGCGGGCAATGGACGGGGCTTCACATGCCAAGAAATCGTGACACATGCGTGTGTAAGTGTGTGTGTGTGAAGGAGTGCAAATGCGAGTGAATGTGTGTGTGTGTGTGTTTCTTTCAGCGCCCACTTTTTGGTTTGGTTTTGAAGGGAAGCCAAAACGCAAATCACCAATTTTGGAGTCCCACAAAATACACACACACACACACACACACACACACACACACACACACACACACACACACACACACACACACACACACACACACACACACACACACACACACACACACACACACACACACACACACATAGCCTTCCGCCAAACATGATTTGGAGCACCACTGCCCCCTTTCTGAAAGGGAAGAAGCCCTTCAAAAGGGTCATTGACCTTGGTGCAGCAAGGCAAGACGCTGCAGGCAAGTGGAAAAACTGACTCAGGCAGGCGCGGTAGGCAACGGCCCAAAGAGCATAGAACACATGTCAAACTGAACTAGGTCTAGCAAACACATCACAAGCGCCACGCCGCTTGCTAAGCTTTTTGGTGGTGCTGGTCTTGAATGTGACAGCACTGTCCTGTCAATGTCTTGATGCACCAGCTTCTGAAATGCAGCCACAAACCCTCCAAACCACATTAAACACAGCACATGTCGGGGTTCCCAACCCCAACGCTATCTCAAACAAGGACTTCATAGACAATGTGTGTCTGTGTTTCTTGAGGGTTCCCTTTTCAGCTTGGCTGAAAGGGACACCACGAGGAATGCCTCGCCATTTGTAGCGTCTTTGACACATGTGATCATGGATCCAAACCTCGCAAATGGCTGATCTGGCGGAAATACTTCTGACAACGCGCGTTGTCCAACCCGGACAAACAATCATAATGATAAACATACAATAATTAATATAAACAAAACACATGTCTATTTTTGTCCGGACCAATTGGAGAATGAACCGTAGATGATTGCTTTTGAAACCAGTGCAATTGGTAGAGACTTGCGGGCTCCAGATCTGTGTTTTCCAGCAACACTTGCCTCTTGCGACATACTGGGAGTACTGCAAATGCAAACCTAAATCTGGGGCAGACAAGTAATCAAAGAAGAACGTGTAAAAACAAATAGCCGCTCATATTAGCCACGTAGGGGGTTGATCAAAAGGTCCTTTGCATGGGATGACCCTTTGGGGTACCAAAAAGACGATATGTCCCACTAAATGGGAAAAGTTACCATGGTCATTTGGGGGTCGAACGGAATATTGATCACCCCCTACGTATTGCTCGCAAACCATCTGCCTGACGTTCATGGCGCCTCAATTCCCCCCGCGCCTTCCCTTCTTCTCGGGATCTGGGGACCGGGATTGGTCCATGCTGCTCCTCAAAGGACATGTGAGCTATGGGCAGAATTAATTGTTTCTCCAAAAGAGGACATGGCCGATAGCTCGCCACATGGTTTCGCCAAGTCTGCGTTGCCACCACCGCAAGTCCTCCCGAAAGCCAAATTCATATTGTCAGCTTCTCATCGGTCGTAAGCAACATAGCTACGCCTCAAAGTCGCCTGTGGGTGAAACCAATTTCTGGACTTAGAAGCAGAAGGCCCTTTAGAGACTCACATTTGGCGTGCACTTTTAGCCACCAAATGGGTATGTGTCCAAGGGGAACCTCCCAAAATGGTGGCTCTCCTTTTGGATTCCCCACCCAATCTGAAAAGGGCGCCCTTCGCCTCAGAACAACACCCA